GAGAGAGAGAGAGAGAGAGAGAGAGAGAGAGAGTTTAGAGAGAATGAATTGTATTATTGATATTGTAAATATTAGAGAGGGAAACAACTATTTATATTAAATGCAGGCTTCTCCAGGAAGCTAACAGACAAAAAGATTTGCTGACCAATATAACAGTGTCATAACTAACTAACTCAAGAATACTCCAGAGAAATACAGAGAAAGCTTCGAAATTTACTACTACTACTACTCTTGAATTCTTTGAGCTTGTACCAAATATTTTTTTTTCCACTGACGGAGTAGTAATTCAGAGAGAGGGATCAGTCAATAAAAATTCCCCATATTCTATATTTTCTTTTGTGAAGTCTACTTTTGTTATATAAGTATGTTGGTATCTTAACATGAACCTTTTCCTTGTTGTTGTTGTTGTTTTTTTTTTTTTTTTTAATTTGTAAAATCAGTTTCAGAATGCTGCAAATTTTACTAATTGAATTATGAATATACTAAGTTTTATTCTTGTCATGCTCATTTTCCAAAGGTTGTTATGCATATGATTAGGAGTATGAGCATTGAAGTGTTTAGCCTTTTTCTTAACTCGAAATAGTAGCTTTGTTAGAAAGAAATGAGAAAGTTGGACAATCAGAGTATAGGAAATCCTACTTACCAGAATGAAATTAAAGTAAAAGGCAGACAAGAAAATGAAAACATTGGCAAAGCTACCCATTCTCTACACAATTTTTAAATGGCAACTCTTAATGCAGTCTTTAGTAGAACTCTTAACCCAGACAGTACTATTTAAGAGGAACTGCAAAAGGGCTCATTCTTTGTTGTATCTTGGATATAAGTTCTATATTTTATTGGTCTTGCGAAAGTGATTTGCATATTTGTTTGGGAGTTAAACTTGGTCTTAAAACTTGGAATTCAAGTGTAGTCTCATGGTTGTAAGTTAACATGTTCAATGTGAAGTTATATCATCAGGTGCCCAACTATTATTTTATTTGTGTCTTGAACGGATGGCACATGTATTTATACTAAGTACTAACAATATGCTGATACAAAATAATCTCCATTAAATGTTTCCCTAACTATTTAGTGATGTTCTAACTACAGCATGAAAATATGAAACGTGTGCTTTCAATACCAACAACTCAGCTACCATATATGTTGAGTCTGCCAATAGTATAATGCTGTAGTGTAGCCATTGCATGTTGTGTCTATCCTCAGTATTGTCCTTGGAAAAAATATGGTTTCTCTATTTGTTTCATAGACGATTAAAAATGGAAATTCCTTGATTTCTTTATTACAACTTCTCAACTCCTTTTTCTTTGCTCTTCCTATTTATTAAAATTGTTGATCCAAACAAGGAGGGAAAATAAAATAAGATTAAAGCTTTTGTATGTGCATAATGCGTTGCCTTTATATGTCATTGTAATCACATGTTTTGTTTTCTGATTATTGCAGTTTATAGTTTATATCACTTTTTAATCTATGTTCCTTCTTGGCAGTGAGTCTACACATTTTGCTGCACCATGTATAACATTCATTTGGCCAGACAGTGGTGATGAGGATTTGGACAATACTGTAAAGGTCATGTCTGACACAATCTGCCCTGTTCTTTTAGAAACAATAATCCAAGGTATTTTTCTTTCACTCATTTCTTTAATGGAAGTACTATATTTCTTTTATCATTACTTCTATATGTAGGGTTTTGTAAGGAAGGTGGCAAAGATAAAAGGTATACTAGAATTAGAATGATGTTGGATGTAATTTGTATGCCACCATTCACCAACTTAATGTCCTATGGTCTATTAGGTTTGCATAGAAAAGTGAAAAATGAATTTGTTTTAATCTTGATGAAAGTACTAAAGTTATTGAGTCACTGAGTTACAATCCTGTATAACTATCATGTCTTGGTTGGAGTAGGTGTCGGTTATAACTGTCTGGCATTGACAGTTGTAACTGACAAAGGGTTGGTACTGCAAATTTGAAAATGCTAAAAAAAAAAGAATTCTCTTGCTCCCCCATAACAACCATTCGGTGCTAGACCTAGCAACAACCATTTGTTTCCAAGACCACTAACATACTAAATTTGTTTCAAGATAAATAGCTGCACCAGAAGTGGATCTGTGATCATCAGGATCCTCAACCTAGATAGCATTGTAAATGAAATGAACAATGAAGTGTTGATTGCAAGCAGCAGGGTAGAATGGAATACTGGGGTAAAGGGTACCTTTGAGGTACCATAAAATTCTCATAACCGTAGTCCAATGAGATTCAAGTCAATTAGACATGAACTTGCAAGCTTTATTAATGGATAACTGAACTCATGCATGTAATTGTTACATATTGAAGTGCACTCACCAAAAATCTTTAGAAACAAGGACCTGGTTGAAGGTCAGAACCATGCTTGTACAATTTGCAACTAGAAATCATAGGAGTAAACATGGACTTAGCATCACTCATGGTGTATTTTGACCCGAAGTCCTTGATAACTTGGTTTGAGTCAAAACTAATGAACCATTGGGCTGAGAGTGTACTATTATGCCCACAAAATAGTCGAATGCCTAGTTGCTTGAGAGAAAATAGAGTCCATTCCATTCAGGTGACAAGTTGTTGAACTAATGTAGTTGACTTGCTATTTATAATGATGTCATAAACGTTTACTAAGAGATAGAGACAAAATAGGAGGGACCACGTTTACTGTCGTAACCAAACTGTAGTATGGTGCGTTTGAGATGCTCAAACCAAGCTCAGGAAGGTTTTTCGAGACCATACATTGCCTTGTGCAATGAAGTATCATGTGGCTCAACCTTGAGGTTGTATCATATACACTTATCAAGAATCTCATGAAGAAATTTTTTGTTGACATCAAACTGCAGAAGGGACCAAGTATAATTGAGCAGAAGCATGTGATTTGTTGGATCGAGCGCTTACCACTAGGCCAAAAGCTATAGCTGATAGTCAGGGCGCAACTCTTTCTACTTAAGAGCGTAGCAGCCCAAGCGCCATGATTCGACAGTGACTTGGCCCACCTAGCCTCCGCCACGGGACAATTGATGCAACCCGCAACAATTTCCCCCTCAGCAATTGCCCTGCTGGGTAACGAACTCATGACCTTGGCTCTGATACCAATTGTTGGATCGAACGCTTACCACTAGGCTAAAAGCTATAGCTGATAGTTAGGGCGCAACTCTTTCTACTTAAGAGCGTAGCAGCCCAAGCGCCATGATTCGACAGTGACTTGGCCCACCTAGCCTCCGTCACGGGACAATTGATGCAACCCGCAACAATTAATTTTAATAATGACATGTTTGTTTACCAGCGTAAAGTTACAAAACCAAAACCTTGCTGTTGACTGAAGCATTTCTGCGCTAAATGGACTTTGTGTATTTATTGTTAAAACCATCAACATGAAAATTCTGAATTTATTAAAGATAAATACTTAGGATCTTTTAAGGCTTGTGTTAGGAACCAAGAATTAAGAAATAGCAAGAAAAGAAAGATTATATTGACTAGAATGAAAATGAACAAGAGATTTAGAGAAATCTCTCCTCCAAGGGTTTCCTCTTCATAAAGGATTTCTCCTTTCACAAAGAACTAACATTCAATTTACAAATGACAACTTCTCGATCCTGTCTCTCCCCTACAGTCTCCCTATTTATAACAAACTAGCTAGTATTCTAACCAACTCTCCCGTTCCTGCAGTCCTAACAAATAACAATACCACCCTTTCTAAGAAACAACACTGTCCTCAAGGTTGAAATCCTAAAAAAAAAAAAGAAATTTCTTGAGCACTACAAGTGTTGAAAAATATCCATTCTGTTCCTCTATCTTTTATCTCCATCTGAATCAATTTGTGGAAGGCACACCATTGTTATCACAAATAGGATGGTTGTCTGCCCATAACGACCCATTAACCACCACCTGTAAACTGGTGTTCGATGGCATCAGTTGTGGAAGAGGCATAAGTGGGTACTGTATACTTTAGAGAATTGGGCCAATGGACCCAACGTTTTAAGTAGTCTTTTTTTTTTTCATCAAGTCTGTTAGGCCTTTTCTTGAAATAAGTTTAACTTTTAATTGTTTTTGAACTTAGTGTAGCATATAATGTACTAAATGTAATAACAAAAAATAAAATAATAATAATAATAATAAAGAAATATAATAAACTTTGTAAAACATAACACTAACATATATATAGTAAACTAAATAATAGTAAATTCGAAAACTAAATAAAACGTAACATAATTATAAAATTTAATTCTATTAATCTATTATAAAATTCTGATTATGAACTTTTAGTTTAAATTTGTTTAATATTATGTTTTATTGATTATTTTCTTTATCTATTTTATTTTTTTATTTATATGTATTATAAGTATTTTATGTTGAAGTGTAGGATCTTACGATTTGAGTTACGATCTTCGAGTTACGAGTTTTTACCTCTTTTCCGATCTTAGATAAAATCTCGATTTTAATAACCTTGCATGGTGATCTTTGTACATTCATTTTGCCTTGAATTTATTGTCGTGTTGGCAGCTATGGACACAACAAAGTTTAATGAGAAAGGCTCATGTAGCAAATTTGAATTCGAAGATTCCAATGCCATCAATGTTCCTCCCACCTTCATGATAGATTCTGGGTCCAATAATGGTTCATGTTTCATCACATAAATCTTTTTGTGGACTCATGGATTTTGAAAAATAAAATGAGCCTTGGTTGCATCTCCACCTTTGACTTCCTTTTTGATCAAATTTGATATTGGGTTATCTAGAAAACAGTCTTCACACCCACTACTCTCCACTCTATTTTCCTTGCATTTGTCTCCCTTTATTGATGGATCAGCTTCTTCCTCCACCATAGCTTTTTCAATATCTATTTCCCTTGCTAACTTTTCTTCATCATTTTTTATTTCTTCTCTCACAAATGGTGTGGTTGATGATTATTGAACCCTCTTTAATTTTGCTTTCTAATTTCAAGAATTGCAATGAATCACCATTACCCTCAAAACTTCTACGCTTCGAATCAGTTCCCCCTACTTTGCTTCCATTAAAGGTGGGTAACTCCATTTCTTTTTCCTAAGAATGCACCAGGTCACCTATGCATTCTGACTCATTGCCAAGGTTATCGATGGCGGATAACGGTCTATGGCGGTGAGGCCAAAAATCCTTTATAACTCTATGGCGGATGCCATGGCGGCCTATGGCAGACGTCATGGCGGACAAATTTTTTTTTTTATATATATATTATATACAAAAAAAACAGAAAAACAATAAATAACAAGCAACAAAACTAAATTAAAACCAATGCAATGGTTTCTAGTCAAGGGAGAAGTGTTCGTCCTCAATGCTCATACTGCAAGAGGATAGGTCATATCCAAGAGAATTGTTATTCTCTTCATGGTTTTGCAAATCTGTCCAAGTCTAAGAAATTGCGCCGTCGTCCGCCGCCGCTGTCTGCTGCCGGCCACCTCCGCCGGCCACCGTCCGCTGCCGCCACCGACGACCAAATTCTCTGGTGAACTTAGGGTTTGGTGCGCCTCTTTGAGCGCAACCCAACCCTGGTGGTTTTGAGCGCATCGAAGTCTCCACACGCTCCCACGCGCCGCTCCAACTGTCTGGTCCGTCATGCGCGTGTCTCACGCGCCGCCTTTTGGCCGCCGGAAGTCCACCGCGCCGCCATCGTTGTGCTCGCCCAAGATGTCTGGGTCTGTTTCAGACCTCAATGTGTTGTTCCAGTTGTTCGTTTGAGTTGCGGTCACTGTTCATCTTCTCTTTGAGTTGCAGTCACTGTTCATCTTCTCCAGTTGTTCCAGTTGTTCCTTCTTCTTCGTATGGCATCTCCAAGTCAGGTTGAAGCTTCTGCAATGGTTTCTAGTCAAGGGAGAAGTGTTCGTCCTCAATGCTCATACTGCAAGAGGATAGGTCATATCCAAGAGAATTGTTATTCTCTTCATGGTTTTGCAAATCTGTCCAAGTCTAAGAAATTGGAAAAAACTGATAGAATGGTCCCTAAAGATGACTATCAGAAATATCTTCAATGGAAATCTATGAATCAAGCTCAATCTTTCTCTACCACTACTGTTTCTACTGCTTGTATTTCTCATTCAACTACAAATCAAAGTCCATGGATCCTTGATTCAGGAGCCTCTGATCACATAACTAGTAATAAGTCTATGTTTTCTACCATGTCTCCACTTAAATCCCCTCACCTTATTACCTTAGCAGATGGATCCAGAATTGCTCCCAAAGGAATTGGTCAAGTCTCTCTGTCTCCCTCACTACATTTAAACTCTGTGTTGTTTATTCCTAATTGTCCTTTCAACTTAATCTCTTTAAGTCAGTTAACCAAATCTTTAAATTGTTCAGTAACCTTTAATGCTGAATCTTTTGTTATTCAGGAACGTGGTACGGGTCAGAAGATTGGTGCAGGACATAAATCTAGTGGTCTCTACTATTTTGAAACACAACCACTTGTGTCTTGTGTTGCTGTTTTATCACCCAAGCTCTTGCATGATCGTTTGGGTCACCCAAGTCTATCCAAGCTGAAACTTTTGGTTCCTAATCTTAAAAATTTAGAATTAATAAAATAAAAACTTTAAAATATATATCTAAAATCTGTAACAATTTCTTAAAT